GGGAGAATCAGGGTGGGGCTCTGACAGCTGGGTCAGAGAGTATGGACTGAATATAAACCATTGGAATAATTATAGATTATTGCATGATAATGGGCATATCTGAACATGGTGTTTGAGGATGTTTAAACCACTGGAATAATTACAGATTATTGCATGATAATGGGCATATCTGAACATGGCGTTTGAGGATGATTCTCTGTGTTGTTATAAACTGCATTTCTGGTAGGCTCTCTCAGATTCCCAATCATGGGTGTGCTTTCTCTTCTATATGTTTGGTTGATGTTCATTTCTGCCTGCTCCTGTGGAGTCATAAAACATGATTATTTAATTCCCAGACGTTTTGTTCTTTGGGTTGCTTATCTGGTATCTTGATACTTTGTCTGTAGGCCCACTGTCCCTCATCTTCAGAAAAAGTGGGAAGAGCACAAGGACCACCCTGTACAACACAGTTGAGAGAAATAGAAATTATCAAGCATTACCAGTCTCTGACCTTGCCATTCAGATGATCCTCCTCTAGGATTCCTGCTCAGGGTCCATGATGGATCTCAGAAGGTGTATGACATTTTTTTTGAAGACCAACCTCAGAGAGTTGTGTGATTCAACAAATGTTTAGAACCACTGTTGTGGTCTTTGTTGAGTGGTAGGTGGCTGGGTATGGTTCCCCAGAGAGAAACGTGGCAGAAGCATCCTTAGTGCCAACTACAGGAGCCTCCAAAGACAGTTGAAGGGGCTGAAAGAGAGAGAGGAATTAGGAAAAGGGAAATGGTTTCAGAGGGAAATAGTAGGACAGGTGCCCCATCATCTCTGTTCTTCACCCTCTTTCTAGCAGGTATTCCTTCTTTGTATTCTCCATATCCTGGCAATTACAGGATTCCGGTTCCCCTTCAATTTAAATCTACTGAATGCCTGCCATTTATCAGGCTCTGTACCAGGTCCTCTCACAACATTATCTCCTGCAATTACTGTGTTGACCCTGCAGTGCACAGAGTGGAGTCAGTCCCTCCCTCAGTCATGGTGTGTTCCCATCATCACTTCCTGTCAGGCCCCTTTTCTTTCTTTCCTTTTTTTATTTTTTTAAAAAAAATTTTCATTATGTCTAGTTAGGCCCTTTTCAATGCATTTATTATCCTGTTTCATCCTTATCTCTATTTTCATTTCCCCTCTGCATTGGAAGCATTTGCTTTAGTGTATTTAACAAATGCTCTTTCAGTCCATGTTCTATATTTGTTTTAGATCCATTCATCCATTCAACAACTACAGTGCCCAGTTGTGTGTGGGTATTCTGAATTATACGAAGATTGTGCTTCGGGGTGGTCCCCAGTGACGCTCCCACCAGCAGTGTGTGATAGTTTGTCTCTTCTTATGGAATTCTCATGTTGACCCAGTGAGGAAGGTCAAGTAAGGTTCCCAGTGGATGAAGACACTGAGGCTTAGAGATATTAAGGAAATTACCTGAGTTCATGTCATCACGAAGAATGGCCAGGGCTCACATCCAGCATTTCTGACGAAGTGTTCATTGTTCTTATCTCTATAGTACCCAGCACCGCCTGTTCCAGATGGGGCATCTGTAGACAAAGATACTATTGTTATTATTATTATTATTATTATATTGAGCCTTGCATTTCTTGATACCTGGTCTAACACAGTAAGCCTAGGACCCCCCATGTGTTAGCTCCAGCATGGATGAGGAAGTCTAATTAGAGTCCTAGCATTTTAATGTGAATCATATGGAATAAAACTGTTTTCATTGTCTCATGAGGGTTAGCTAACAAGCTCGAGCTTTAGTGGATGATTTTGAGCCTGCACATTTATAAAGACTGATTGATTTTCAATGTTTGGTTACTTTGGACCAGATTTCTATATGAAGTACTAGGTAGATGATATTAAGTCCCTATTGTTTGCTAGGCACTGAGCTACGTACTTACAGACAACATTTCACTTACTTCTCACAGCTGTGCTGTGAGTTATTTACTTTTACTCCCATATGACTGTTGTGGAAACTAAAGCTCAGAGCAGTAAACTAATTTGTCCAGAGTCACCGGGTGTGAGATTGAGGTGTGATTTGAACCTGAACAGTCTACCTACAGAGCCTTACTCCTAACTTCTGAACTGCACTGCATTCCTGTGAAGGAAGCTTTTAGAATCTCTTCCCCTTGAACTTGAGGACAATTTCTTCTCAGGTGGGTTTTTTAGAGCAATCATTGGAAGTACAGGGCTAGTGGACAAGAATCTCCAGAGGGAGAGGATCTGAAGTTTGAAAATGTCCCCAGGTGTCTTCATTATGTCTTCCTCTATCCCTAAAGTGAGAACCTCTGCCTTAGGACATCCTACCTGGATTATAGGGCCTGGGCATGATGCCTTCAAAAAAGTAGGGCTTCTCTAACTGGGTGTGGGTGGTTGGTTGCCCATAACCCCAGGCAGCCTGATATTTTTAACAGGTGTCCCTAAAGGCAAATGATTCTTTATCACCCTGTGTGACTCATAACCTGCCATGAATGATGGGCAGTCAAGGTTTTATCACAGTTGGTTTTCCCTTCACACTATGCATTTTGCTCGCCTTCTACAAGGAAGGTAATACCATGTATATCTTTACCTGAGCCTTCATTATAAAGCTTTCTTGGCTACAAAGTATGTATCTATCTTCATGACCAGTAGATAGGGATTCTGGATTATGGCCTCTTTTAGGTTTCTCTTCTCAGCATGGTCATTTGTTCAACAAATACTTATTGAGTACCTACCTCACAGTCTGATGGAGGAGACCAGCAGCTGACCTGGAATTTGGATACATGAGGATCAATGGCACATGGGGGAAGCTGGTCCTAGGAGAGCACATAGGAAGGGCAATGTAAGGGTCAGGGGAGGCTTCCTGAGGAAGCAAATGCTGAGCTGGAAACTGAAAGAGAAGTGGGGGTTAGCTAAGTGAAGGGGCCAAGAGGGCATTAGAGGCAAGGGAACAGGGTGAGTGTTGAATTTTGTGGCTGGAGCAGGAACTGGGCAGAGGATGAGGCTGGAGGAATAAGCACAGGTCAGATTATAAACAAAGGAAGGACTATGAAGGAAGGGAAGTGTGGAACCATGGAAAGGTTTGAAGACTGGTTGTGGGTTGGGAACACCTCAGATAGTATAAAAAGATTTCATGAGTTAAGAATTGACACTCAGGGGTGCCTGGGTGGCTCAGTCATTAAGCTTCTGCCTTCAGCTCAGGTCATGGTCCCAGGGTCCTGGGATCAAGCCCCAAATTGGGCTCCCTGCTCAGTGGGGAGTCTGCTTCTGCCTCTCCCACTCCCCCTGCTTGTGTTCCCTCTCTCGCTGTCTCTCTCTCTGTCAAATAAATAAATAAAATCTTAAAAAAAAAGAATTGACACTCATTATCTATCTCCTGTGCTTGTTGGTAAATCATAACATTGGAACTGGTGAGTGGCAAATAAGGAGTCTAGATGGATTTGTAGACAAAAGGTCTGACCCATAACCCAGGGGTTCCTTTTGATCGTCTATAGAGAAGACTTCTGAATTTTGTCTTGATCTTTCTGCCTTTAAAAACTTCTGAGAACGTTTCTTAAAATTCTCTTAAAACTGAAGCATGAGTAAGGAGGAGAGTGGGGCTGCATGACTTTGTTTTCTCTGTTCTCCACTTCTCATTTCCTAGGCATTGCTGTAAATTGTTCATCCAGAGCCTTGCTTCCCTTGTGGAAGGGGCCATTTGAAGAGAAGTAGGGGAGGAGGGGTAAGAGGGAGCCACACACAGGATTCCTTCATTAAGAAAACATTCAGACAACAGTTTGAATGAGTTAAAAATAACTCCTTGTGAAAAATTCATTGGGAATTACAAGTGAGTGTTTGAATACAAACTCACAGAGCAGGACAGACCAGCCCCCTGGCAGCTGACCTCCCAGATGGCTCAGGATGTGTAGAGAGCACAGCGTGGCCAATGAGGAGACTGTCTGCAGAAGTGAGCTCACCTTTTCTCCTGGAACCCAGAGAGGGAGGAGACAGAAGGAATTGTTTTGGTTGAGAGCAACTGAGCTAAGTGACTCATTTCTTTTCTCCCTACCTATCACACTGTCATAACTGTGGACATAAAAAAGGTAGTGAATTTTGGGGGGGGCTATTCACAAAATAGCCTTTCTAGCTCCTTTCCCTTCTCAGTCATGGACCCTGGGTTGGCTGTTGCCCCTATTTCTCCAGTGTTTCCTTCCAGGCAGCCTGGTCCTCTCCTTCTTGCAGGTAGTTATGAAGACCCTGCCCCTTTCTCCCTCCTCCTCTCTATTCACAGCGCCCCTGTGGGCCTAGGTGGGTAAAGGGAAGGGATGGACTCTACATTCTTGGTCGTCAGTACAGCTGAATGGATGATGCAGAATGAGGAGAAAGGGGGCCAAATTGGCATCTAACCTTGGGTAGCAGATTTGGGGTCTATGACTTTTAAGACAGAGAGACCAATATTTGTATTTAAACTCTGATGATATATAAAGAATGGGTCTTTAATTGCAAAGAGGTATCTAGTCCATGAATTAATGTGTCATAACTCATGCTCAAGCAGCGCATACACATCCTGTGTATGAATTCTTGCACAATACATTCATGCTCTGTTGTGTCTTACTGCCTAATTAGCACGCGAAGCTACATGACTTATGAACTCAAATGGGATTATGTTATGTGGTGTGTAAAAAAGGAAAATGTTGGGGTGCCTGGGTGGCTCAGTGGTTGAGAGTCTGACACCTGATATCAGTTCAGGTCTTGATATCAGGATTATGAGTTTGGGCCCCGTGTTGGGCACCATGCTGGGCATTGAGCCTACTGAAAAATAAAATTAAAAAAAAAAGCAGAATGTTAGGAGGTATTTGGTACCTTTTCTGGAGGGAAAGCAGGATTGATTTTTCTATGGTGTCTTTTGGTGTCAGTTTCTATGACACTTTGGCTGCAACAAGTTACATGTGACTTTTGAGTTTTGGTTGGTTGGTTGAACACATTGTTCAGTAAATATTTATTTTTTCTCTAGGCATTCTGGAAGGATAGCAGTTACCACATGAAAAATGAAGCAGCAGCTCTGAAGCCTGAGCAATGGACCTCGGCAGCCCCAACCCAACCTGGCTTAACTCAGCCTCACTGAACCAGATCCAACACTCTTGGCTCCCTGGGCTTGCTACAGCTCTCTGATCCTTAGAATCTTCTCAGTTCCAGCTAGAATGCTACGTCAGGCACTTCGCAGATTTGGTCGAAAGCTGGTACGCAGACGTCCGCTGGAGAAAAAAGTGTATGAGTTTAAATCTGGCATAAAACCGAGCACTCTGGACTTAGTGGCCCTGGGTGTGGGCCACACAGTGGGTGTCGGTGTGTATTTCTTGGCTAATGAGGTGGCCGGTAATCAAGCAGGACCATCCATTGTGATCAGCATTTTGGTGGCGGGCCTGACATCATTGTTGGCTGGGCTGTGCTATGCAGAGTTTGGTGCCTGGCTTCCCCATTCTGGCTCTGCGTATCTCTACACCTATGTCACTATGGGTGAACTCTGGGCTTTCATCACTGCCTGGAACCTTATCCTCTCCCTTGTTGCTGATGCAGTTATTGTGGTCCAGACCTGGACCTTAGCTTTTGACATCTTGTATGGGAACCGGATCTCTGAGACCCTGCATGAGAGCATTTCACAACATGTTCCCCAAGTCATTGCAGACAATCTAGCCTACTTTGCTGTGATCCTACTGTTGTTTACCGTAGAAATTCAATATCTGCTGTCTCATGACTGCATAATTTTCAAACTGTTTACATTGGTAAAACTTTTGGTTCTCAGTTTTGTCATCATCTCTGGCTTCATGAAGGGGGACCTGCACAACTGGAACCTCACAGAAGAGGACTATGTAAAGGCTGGACTCAATGACACCTTTAGCTTGGGCCCTCTGGGCTCTGGTGGATTCATGCCTTTTGGCTTTGAGGGGATTCTCCGTGGAGCAGCTACCTGTTTCTATGCTTTTATAGGCTTCGACAGTATTGTTACCAAAGTTGAGGAAGCCCAGACTCCCCAGCGTTCCATCCCCAAGGGCATTGTGATTTCACTGCTCATCTGCTTTTTGGTGTATTTTGGAGTCTCTGCGGCACTTACACTCATGGTACCTTACTACCAGCTTCGACCTGGGAGCACCTTGCCTGAGGCATTTCTCCATATTGGCTGGGCAACTGCCTATTATGTTGTAGCTTTTTCGATTTTCTTTAGTATTGTTACTGGCAGTTATATGAACTTTACAGTCCGCATACGTCAGGTGACATATATGATGGCAATGGATGGTCTCCTGTTCCCTGTTCTTGCCAGGTTCCTTTTCAGCACATATGGCCGCTTCCTGACCACTGTGACCTTTGTCACTACTGGAGCAATCATGGCATTCCTCTTTGGACTCACTCGTCTTCTGGACCTCAGGTCATTTGGGACCCTGATATCTTATTCCCTGGTAGCTTTTTGTGTTCTCATCATCAGGTATCAACCTGAGTGGACGAATGAAGAAAATGAAGCACAGGTGCAGGAGGAGAATGGGGGAAATGAGGCACAGGTGCAGGAGGAGAATTTGGGAAATGAAGCACAGATGCAGGAGGAGGATGGATCTGCAGCAGAGAAGCTGACTCTACAGGGACTATTCTTTCCAGGCAGCCCCACCCCCACTCCGCTCTCTGGCCGGGTTGTCGTTGTTTGCTCCTCACTGCTTGTTCTGCTGCTGACTCTTCTCTGCCTGGTGCTGGCCCAGTGGCCAGGTCTGCTCTCTGGAGACCCAGCGCCGATCACAGTGGTTGTGCTGCTCCTGGTGCTCATCACTGGGATCACTGGGGACATCTGGAGGCAGCCACAGAGCTCCACTCCCTTTCCCTTTAAGGTCCCTGCTGTGCCTCTCCTCCCACTCCTGAGCATCTTTGTGAATGTTTGCCTTATGATGCAGATGACAGCTGGAACCTGGCTGAGATTTGGTGTCTGGATGCTGATTGGGTTTGCTCTCTACTTGGGGTATGGGATCTGGCACAGCCTGGTGGCTTAACCCCACTTAAAGGCCCAAACTGTAGACTCAGCAGTGAACTCAGCAATGCCAGTACTTATTCGGTTTGACATCATCACACCTGAATGCAGTCTGGTCCCCTGCACAATAATGGGGAGTACTCTTGAGCACATGGAAATCTAGGGCTCCTATGAGCTATTGATGGGGAACACTAATAGAGCTCTGTATTTATGGTAGAGTGAAGGATGTGTCTTTGCTCTTCCCCCCCTTTTCTTCTTTACTTTCTACTTTTTAATTATGTCTATAGCTGCTCACTGGCTTTTACAAAATTAGTATTAAAAGAAACTTGAAAAAGTGTTTTCCTTTTCTTTGGTTAAATATCCACTAGTCAAGGAGGTGTCTAGCTGGCTCAGTCAGTAGAGCATGATTCTTGATCTCAGGTTGGTGAGTTTGAGCTCCACATTAGCTGTAGAGATCACTTAAAAAAAAATCCAGTAGCAGAATTATTGGATCATACGGTAGTGCTGTTTTAATTTTTTTGAGGAATCTCCACACTGTTTTCTGTAATGCCTGCACCAATTGACATTCCTACCAACAGGGCGTGAGGATTCCTTCTTCTCTATATCTTTGTCAACACTTGTTATTCTTGTCTTTTTGATTTTAGCCATCCTGACAGGTATAAAGTGACATCTGACTGCACTTTTTTTAGAGTTTAATATGTTTAATTTTTTTATGTTCAGTTAGCCAACATATAGTACATCATTTGTATTTCCCTGATAATTAGTGATACTAAACATCTTTTCATGTGTCTGTGGCCATCTGTATGTCTTCTTTGGAAAAATATCTATTCAGGTCCTCTGTCCATTTTTTAATTGGATTTTTTGGGGTTTTTTTGTATTGAGTTGTATAAGTTCTTTATGTATTTTGAGTATTAACCCTTTATTAATATATCATTTGCAAATATCTTCTCCCATTCAGTAAATTGCCTTTTTTTGTTATTGATGGTTACCTTTTCTGTGTAAAGGTGTTTTTGTTTTGTGAACTGGAAAAGATACATGCACCCCTATGTTTATTGCAGCATTATTTACAATAGCCAGGATATGGAAGCCACCCAAATGTGCATCAGTAGATGAATGGATAAAGAAGATGTGGTCTATCTGCATATCCAATGGACTATTACCCAGCCATAAAGAAGAATGGAATCTTGCCATTTGTAACAACATTGGATGGACCGGGTGGGTATAATGCTAATTGAAATATGTCAGTCTGAGAAAAAGAAACGCCGTATGTTTCACTCTTATGTAGAATTAAAGAAATAAAAAAATTAAAATGATAAAAGAAAAAAGAGAGACAAATAACAATACCAAAACAAAAGCAAAAACAAAATCACAACACCTTAGACCCTTAAATAAAGGGAACAAACTTGTGGTTGACAAAGGGGAGATGGGTAGGAGAATGGGTGATTTAAATAAAGGGAATTAAGAGTATGCTAATATTGATGAGCACTGAGAAATATGTGGAATTGTAGAATCATTGTATTGTACACCTGTGAATAATACATTAACACTGCATGTTCATTATACTTACATTAAAAAAAAATAGAAACTAGAAAAAGACCAACAACAAAAAAAAAGATGAAATATGGCCCTTGCCATTAAGCAGCTTATATTCTAATACAAGGGGTAAAGCATAGCTGTAACACAAAGTAGAAAGTGTTGTCATAAGTAATATAAAAATAAAATGTCTTGGGAATCCAGAGTGGAAGATGATCATTTGTGGCTGGTACAGAGGTGAAAGTTGATTGGTGAAATCAGAGAACACTTTGTAGAGGAATGGTTTTGAGTTGGCTCACTTCAGGGATGGGATTTGCCACATCTGGGCAGCAGGGAGAGTGTAGGCAGTGAGAGCACCAGGAGGAAAAGCAGAGGAAAAGGAAGCAGCGTTCAGAGCACACTGAGCAGGCTGTGTAGCTTGAGCCTTGGCTCTGTGAGGGGGCAACAGAGCATGCACAGGTGGATCGGAGCCGAGCTTTCCTCTGAGCACAGAGCACTTTGGCTTTGAACCCACTGCCCATGCTGAAAATCCCTGGGTTGGTACTTCTCTTAGCAACATCTGCATTCTTGGACTTTAAAATTTCTCTACTGTTGTCTGCTTTGGTCCACCTCTGCAGAAAGTGCACAGTTGAGAGCCATGTGTCCTGGGTTCTGGTCCTGTTTCCACCACTAAGTAGCAATGTGACCTTGAGCATGCCTCTCAGTTCCTTCCATGCTCTGCTTACTTATCTGTAACATGGGAGGTCACAACTGATCATCTCTTATGTTCCATTTCCTTAAAAAATTCTAGGATTTCCTCTGGTTCTTCTGTCCTGCTATTCTCTTAACTAGGTCTCTCTTCTGCACATGATCTGTACCCGCATCCTTCCCACCTTTCTCTACAACCTATTATTGGAGCTGTAGAGGTCCAATGAATAACACCCCATTTCCCCCTCCTTGTTTGGAACCTATTGATAATTACGACATAGAGAGAGATGATTAAACCATCAACTGTATAACTGCAGCCTAATTGGCTTGTTAATCCTGCATCACTAAATTAGACAGACTTACTCCTCATCACAAGAAGTCCTGAGCATCCCTCGCCTGCCATCACAGGAGAGTCTGCTTTTATTAGTCTTTCTCCTCTATCAGGATGAATTACATGTGGCCAGTGGGCAGGTTTGTTCTGGACCAAAAAAAAACAAAAAAACAAAAAAACAAAAAAACATTGGAAGAAGCTAACCAGGCATGCTTGGTGTTATGTCTTCACTTCATTAATCAAGGTCCCAGTGAGAGAGGGCCCCATGGAGAGTGGCGAGGAATAGTACTCTGCTCAGTGGTGTTCAAACTTCAGAGGATGCCATGACACCTGGAGGGCTTGTGAAAACAGATTGCTGGGCCCCTGTCCCCAGCGTTTGGAATTCAGGAGGTCTGGGTGGGCCCCAGAACTTGTACTTCTAACAAGTTCCCAGGTGATGCTGATGCCGCTGGTCCACAGACCACACATGGAAAACCAAAGCTCCACCTGAAGCCTCTTCACATGTAAAGATGAAGTGAAGGAAACAAAGGTGCCTTTGTACACTCACCTTCATTTAATGAAACATTTATATTAAAATACCATCGTTAATCCTTTCACAGTGGGCAAATTATAATCATTTCACAATTATATGTATATCAAATTAACATTATGTACACTTTAAATATCTTACAATTTTATATGTCGACTGCACACTAATAAATCTGAAATTTAAAAAAAATAGCATACCACAATTATGTGTGTGTCTTTCTTTTCTTTTTTTTTGTTCTTTATTAGACACCATAGGTACATAGTGTATCCTGTTCACTCCCCCAGAGCATCCAGCTGGGGACAAGGAACATAATGAGCATTTGATAAACTCATGTTAAATTGAATTGAGCCTTACACATTTCACTGGTACAGAAAATTCTCCTTCCTTTCAGGCTAGCACTGTGCTACTTCTTTAAAATTATCTTCTGAGAGACTTCCTTGAAAAACAGCATTTCTTTCCATCCAGAATTGTCTGTACCTGGCATCAAGAACTGTACCCAGGCACTTCTAATTTTGCTTTTGTGTGGCTATGCCTGAGTTCCTGTGACTATCCTATCTGTTCCATCACAGTACAATCTTGCTCAGGGCAAGGAGTAGGTTCTACATTTCCTCTAGATCCAACAGTAAGAACAGTGTTGTTCCTTCAAAGAGCAACAGGGAAAATACAGACCTGGGGCAGGAGAAGGCCTGACATGACCTCCCCTAGTCCTGCTCCATCTCTTCCCATGGGATGTAGGGAGGGGTTACAAAGAGTGAAATTGATATAAGACCCAACCAGTTCTTCCTGATTCCAGGGAATCCCTGAAGAGGAGACTAGCTCCAGCGTGGGTGCAACAGGCATTCTTCTTGACGCAGTCAGTTTTATGCTTTGGTATAGGAGGACCAGAGTTTTTCTATTGTATTTATGCATGGGGCCTGACCTGGGAGGGAAGAAGAGAAGATACTTTCTTATTTGCTGAGTTTCTCATCTTCCTAAAGGATGTAGGTGGTTGCAGGGAAGACTGCCAGAGGTAAGATTACCCATATACTTAACTACTCCTTTAGATGCTTCTTTGAGGGACTGGTGCAAAAACCTTGTGAGAGCATCTATGATTCTTTGGGGAGAGAGAATTGATACCATACGTGGGGAGAAAAATGGACTGAAATAGGAGGGTTAATAACTGGATAGGAATGGAGGCATCATTATTCTGGAAGGGAAGGTATGAGTTGAAACTGAGAAAGAGGTATTGGTCAAGAAACACTTCCTGGAGAAGGTTGTCTATGGAGCAATTTAGGAAATAAAAGAGATAGGTGCGTTGGAAAAGAAATGGGACAGTAATTCTAGTTACATGGACCTTTAAGAATCATGAATTAATGAAACTCTTGTGATGGATATGTTTTTTCACATATGAAGGGAATTTATGAGCCAGCTTTGTACTGTGTATCATGCCATGGAGTGAGATTCCTGAATCAGGAACTGATGAGATATGATTCTCATTGCCATCCGGAGGATAGACAGAGAGAAAGGTGTGGACAGATGCACTCTTCCAGGGAGACAGTTGTAGCAACTGCCACAGTCATATAGATCCTGCTCTTCAAAGTGTGGTCCATGGACCAGAAGCCAGGGTGTCCCCTGGGAGCTTCTTAGAAATGCAGATTCTCAGGCCCCCATGCAATGTGCTGAATCAGAATCTGCATTTTTAGCAAGCTCCCAAGTGACTTGTAAGGTCTTTTAGGTTTGAGAAGCACTCATCTTAAATGTTGGAGGACAGGTATCTGGCCTCAGATGGAAGGTGTGAAAACTTTGGAATTGGGAGTCAAGAGGAGGGGCCTAGGCTGGGGAAGTTGAATTTGGGGAAGAGGGAGAAGTGTGGGGTCTGACTGCCCTCCTGTCCCCAGGCCTCCCTCACCAGTCACTATGGCAGGGTTTAGCACTCTGCCCACTGTGGGAAAAAGCCTGCGGTGCCCTCGCTCAAGTCTGCCTGGTCCTCAGGGTTCCTCTGTGGCAAGTATTGGGTGGGTGGCAACCGCTGCCAATTCTATTTCCCCTCCTTCATTTGATGGCCTGAAAGGGACTGGGAAGGTCATATTAGTCATGCCCTGACTCAGGGCAGTACTGTCCCTTAATCAAATGAGTGATAAAGTGATGACCCTAATTGAGGAGGCTCTGGAGGTTGGGGGATGAAATAGGAGTTCTTAACTATCTGTCCTGGAAATTAGGATACTTTCATCTTTCAAATGCTTTCAGGAGAAACAAGATGTCTACATAAGGGGTTATACCCTAATAGGGACCAAATTATGCTTTTTAAGGGATCTTTGATGATTCTTTTTTTGAAAAGATTTTATTTATTTATTTAGGAGAGAGAGAGAGAGAGAAACAGCATGAGAGGCGAGAGGGTCAGAGGGAGAAGCAGGCTCCCTGCCGAGCAGGGAGCCCGATGTGAGACTTGATCCCAGGGCTCCAGGATCATGACCTGAGCCGAAGGCAGTCGCTTAACCAGCTGAGCCACCCAGGCGCCCTCTTTGATGATTTTTAATGGGTTAATAACAAACTATATGAGACCTATAATTCCAGAGACCTGGACTGATAGGCAATGGAACAACGTTACCAGGTGGGCATTGGAGAATTTTCTTAGCCTTTCGAGGGTTTGTGTACCTCATCCCCTATAAAAATAGGTGGTAGAGGGGCGCCTGGGTGGCTCAGTTGGTTGGGCGACTGCCTTCAGCTCAGGTCATGATCCTGGAGTCCCGGGATCGAGTCCCGCATCGGGCTCCCTGCTCGGCGGGGAGTCTGCTTTTCCCTCTGACCCTCCTCCCTCTCATGCTCTCTGTCTCTCATTCTCTCTGTCTCAAATAAATAAATAAATAAAAATCTTAAAAAAAATAGGTGGTAGATAGAGGCCAAAAGTGAAGGAAAACAGATAAGAGATTGAACATAAGGAAGAATTTTCTAAGATTAGAGAGTGACGGGGGATACGGGAGGGTGCAGGCTCTCTGGCCGAGCGCATGGTTGCTCACTTGGCTGTGGAATGTCTCAGATGGGCTCCTGTCCAGAAACAGGGAAAGGTACACAATGAACTCTCAAAATCTTTGTTATCTCAAGAATTCTCCGTTCAACTTCTTAAATGAATGCCTGGGGTGGATGTGTGGTGTATGTAAGGTGGTGAGGCATGGGGATGATGAATGACAGAAGAAAAAACACAGCCTTATTAGAGCACTGAAATCTGCTATCAGTTCTCCTAAATCTCCTTGGATTTAGGAGAATATATAGGACATTAGGGCTCAAATAGAGTTTTAGGTTTACAGGTTCTTCCTCTC